TGCAGCATGATTGCAGTGGCCATGTGCTGCTCTCCCTGTCCCCCAGAATGCCCATTTCCACTTACCTCAAGGGAAATTAAGAATGCTTAAAAGATGACCACTTTGGCCTTTGAAGCTTTTCTCTCTGATTCAGTGTGTTTGTGCCTTAGAACAGTGTTACAAATATTGTGGCACTCGGCATGATCTCTGTTTCAGTGACGGGCAGGTAATTGTAATTAGTTTTATCACGGTGCAAATTCAGAATCCACTCTGAATGCTTTCCTTTGAATTGAGTTAAAAGGAGCTATTTGAGCTGACAATCATTTTGACTGCAGTGTGTGAGAAAGACTCCAATTCTAAACTTACGGGAAAGGCTCATTTTACTGCTGGGCTCAGAGTCTGCCGTCTCCGAGCTCGTTGGCATCACTAGGTGAGAGCCAGAGCCAGAGCAAATATTTCTCTGGGCTCCCACATCCATGCAGTGTGTTTTAGATTACACCGAAGTGGATTCACAAGAGGAAGCTGGGGGATGGCAGGGAGGTGAGCGTGGATGGAGGCAGCACAGGGAATAATGGAAGGAAACGGTCAGATGAAGACAAAGCAAAGGCAGGCAGAGAAATAGCAAAGGGCTTCAGGCTGAGAGCAGCTGAGAGAGAAAGTTAAAGTTATTTGTATCATTCTAAGAAGGTTAACAGAGCACACAGAACCTGCCCCCTCCATCCCCTGCTCTCACCACTGTTATAGTGATGGGTACGAAACACGCTACAACCTGAAATAGGAAAATAAGGGGTTTAATTGTGCATGCATGGCTGCAGTCAGCTTTTCAGATGGGCAAGAGCAAGGACAGCTTTGCAAAACAGAACCAAGGACAAGGCTGTCTGCAACTCTGAGAATTGTCATGGAAACTGCAAGGAAAGTGGCACACAGTGCCAGGGAAGATAGGCAGGAAAAAGGCACTGGAAATAGTTGCTGCAGGAAAGCCTCCCTGCAGAGCTTCTAGACATTAAAAGTCAATTGAATAAATTGTTCAGTAATTTTAGATGTTCTTTGAAAAACTAGTTTTTAAAGGGGAAAAAAAAAAAAAAAAGGAGTAAAAGAGAAAACTATGTATGGCTCAGCAAAATGTCCAGGAGGAAAATGCTCTGAAAGGAAAAAGAATGAATGCAAATAAGCATCCTGCAATGTTTATTACATAGGCAGATACATATAGATTGCTACAGTCACACGTGTGTGTTTGCTTATATACAGCATACTATATATATATATAGTATATAAATAGTATATGTATACTTGTTTGTATCACTATATGTAGTGTGTGTATATAAACACATAAAGTAGTATGTACATGTATATAGTACGTATAGTATGTATAGCATATATAGTATATATAGAGCAGTATTAGATATATATGTAGGTGTCATACTGTGTGTGTCAGGGCAAGGCAACCAGAGGTTGATTCAGAGGGTGAATATCTGCAAAGTGCACGGGCGTTGTACCCTACTCACATGAGTTACAGGGAGTTGTAAATCACACCACGTAAAACACAGCATCTGATATACTGCAGTATAAACTCAAACTGAAAGGAGGTGACAGCAGGAGAACTGTCTCATTTACCAGGCAAGGTGAATTGCCATCCCCCAAATGCAAAAAGCACACGGGAAAAGGAAAGGTCTGGAGCAGAAGAGATGAGGAATGGAAAGCCAGTGCTGAAAGGAAATGGAAAGGAAAATATCACAGCACTGCCATGCTGGTGCAGCTCACATGAGTGGCCCTCGCATCCCCACCTTGGGACTCAGTGCACTCAGGACAAGGAGCATCAGCAGCTTTCCAGCTAATTTGGCACCCAAATCAATGGGCTTTAGGTAGGTGCTCTCCAGGTACACAAGCAATGCTTAGAGCCAAACTCCCATCAGTTTTTGAGCAGTATCTTGCCCTGTGAATCCAGCAGTACGCTTAGACTGCATCCACTCCAATGTGGCATTTATTTTAAAAGACAGCGTAATGTTATACTGCACTCGTGTTTGCATCAAACACTGCTTGCCTTGATTAATACATGTTTGCCTGATTTGTTATGAGATCTAAATAGAAGTTACACGACGCTTCTCAGCCCAGCGCTTTTCTTTGCGTGATGTGAAAATGACCTGTCATTACAAAGAGTGAAAAATAAAATGAGGCTGTGTGTTTGAAAAGAAGCTGTGCAAAAGACCTGCCAAAGCACATCAATATTTGTAATTACAGTGGCAGGTGCTGCTCTGTGTGCACGCACCAGTGAGGGCTGGTTTCCCACAGATCAGCTATTCTTTCTCCCATTTTGCCCCCGTCGCCACCAGCGCAGCGTTCCCATCTCTTACGATGTCCCTCATCAATACCCAACATGTTTCCCTTCCCTGCCTTCATCCTGGGATGGCCATACAGCCATCCCCACTGCTCATCTCCTTCCCTAAGAGCTGTCAGTGCCAGAGGCATTGGCACTGGCGTTGAGATGCAGGCACGGGTTAACCACAACCGCTGCTCCTTCCCAGCTCGGCTCGGCCCTACGTGGCTTGCACCTAAGTTCAAGCAATCGGCCGTCACTTGGGGACTCGTGACAGCTGACAAATTTGGTTCAGGTTGACCCAGGGGTTTAAAATGCATTTCAGAACAGACACGCAGACTGACAGGCAGGCGGTATAATTGTGTGAGACTATTTCCTTTGAAAAGGCAGCTTTAAAAATCCACAAAGGACAAAAGTCGCTAATGCACCTCAAAAAAAGGCTGACAGGAGCTAAGAGGGGGAAATGGAGTAACTCCCAAGGCAGCAGAAACATGGAAAGATCTTAGAATTCTCGCTCTCCGTTTCAAATTATCTCAGTAAAAATGGCCCAACTATAGGATCATAGAAGCATAGAATTCTTAGAGCTGGAAGGGACCTTTAAAGGTCATCTAGTCCAACTCCCACGCAGTGAACAGGGACATCCACAGCTCGATCACATTGCCCAGGGCCTGATCCAGCCTCGCCTTGAAAGTCTGCAGTGATGGGACATCCAGGAGAGCTTATACAACACCAACCTGAGGATTTGAGTGAGCTTTTTGCTACCAGCACGTGTGAAGCACAATGAATTCCAAACAGATGGCTTATTTAAAGATCACATGATATGCACTGAAATCAATATCCAGATTACAGTGGAGCTGTTTCAGGGAAATAGATATAATTGTAGACATGTGAAAACCATCCAGTCTGGACAAAGACTGGGGCAAGAGGAATCAGCACTTCTTAAAGTCTTAGAAATGCAAAGAAAGAGTTGAAGTGCACGTAATTACCAGTGAGAGGCATTGTAGCAAAGCAGATAAAGTTAATTATACAGTAAAGGAGCATTTCCAGTTGGCGTGGTAGTAATCATAGTCAACAGAGAAGTGCCCATTGGAAGGAATCACATATAATAAAAGCAATCATTTAGTATAAGTGCACAGCACAAATTACCTAAAAAGACAGAGGCAGATACAGACACACAGCTGGAGATGACAAACCTTAATGAAGACTTGTGGGGTTCTACAACCAATAGGATATCTTAAAAAGCAGCAGATCCTGTGCTGTGTGCTGTATCCCACCAAACCCTCACACCCATCTGCAAGAGATATTGGTCTCTGCATTCTGACACGGGGGGATGGAACATAGTACCCAAAATAAAAGGCAGCCTTCAAGCTTCAAGCATAGATCATCTGCATGTGTGTATAATATGTGCCTGTATGACCATCTCCTTGGTGCTACTTTGTTAGTAATAGGATAAGCATGGGAGCAGCATGGGAGCAGCCCAAAGACACTGCACCAGGGCTGTGGCAGGTGATGGAGCAGAGGAAGAGCCCCTCAGCCACCCTGCCTGCTACTTGGTGCCTCACTGCTATTAGATACTAACAGCTTCCCAGACCTCTAACTAAGGATGAGGCTTAGTTTTGTCCCCCTCGGGTAGTAACTTCTACTAGCTCCCCCCAAACTGGCTTCATGTTTGGAATACCCCAACTAATATACCTTAATGCTGCAAAAGACTTAAATGCAATGTTGCTCTTCACAGAAGTGCTAACGGGGGAGGATTTACTGATTTGAAAGTATCCAGATTAATAAATAAAGGGCGGCAATTAAAGTGAAACAGACACCCGTCCCATCAGATGCAAAAGTCTGAGGCTCACAGCATGGCTCCAAGCAAAGTTAATTGGCATTATTGGGGTGCAGCTCGTGGTGTGGGTTCTGTGCAAAGAGCTTCTCATGGCAGCACAGTGCCAGGCCTTTGTGCATCTCCCTTTTGGAGATCTCCTGGGAGCTGCCTCACGCAGCTGGGCAGCAGTCAGCTGCAGCCATGGTGGAGAAAAACCTCCTGCACGGATCCATACGGTATAGATTCTCTATGATATAGAGCCTTGTAAGATGAATTGCAGTCACCACAGGGCCTTGCTGCTTGCTATATGAATTTGAGATATTACATTCTCTCTGAATTTCCTCTCGTATTTAGCAGAGAGCATCACATGCACGCAGCCAGCTCCTGCACTGCCAGTTACTGCTTAAATGTACATAGGCATGCAAAGTGTGGGCACATATTTACAGACCAGAAGCGCTGGCTTTTTTAATTAACCAGTGTTTCACTTTGTTACCAAACACAACACGGACCATCGGCAATAACTGCACTCGGGAAAACTGACTCCCTTACTCTCCTCTCATTCCCAAGGACTGACTTCAGGGCGAACCCAGAAATGGGAGAAGGAAAGGCTTTTTCTCACAGCACGCAACAGAACCGCGGCTCTTCCCACCGCAGCACACGGTGCCGCAGGACAGGCACAGCACCGCTGCACGCGCACCCCCTATAGACCACGCGCACCCCCTATAGACCACGCGCCTCCGCTCTGCCCCGTCCTGCGCATGCGCACCGCCGCAGCCCCTCACTCCACCCCCACCACGCGCAGCTGCCACTCCACGCATGCGCACTCCCCCTCTTTGAGCGCTCGCACACCTCCGGCCCGAAAGGGGGCGCTGCAGAGCTGGCGGCGGCGCCGGAAGTGAGGCCGCCGTTTCCGCCCGTCGCGGCTGAGTCACTGGGCCGCGCCGCCGCCCCGGTGCCCGCCGCCGTTCCGAGCCACCGCGAGCCCCGCCGCCATGCCGCTGGAGAACCTGGAGGAAGAGGGGCTGCCCAAGAACCCCGACCTCCGTATCGCCCAGCTCCGCTTCCTCCTCAGCCTCCGGCCCCGCGCGCCCGACCCCGCCGCGCGGGATGAGTTGATGGCGGCCGTGAGGCTTCACAGTGAGTGCGGGCGGAGCGGGGGTCTGTCTGTCCGAGTGTCGGTCTGTCAGCAGGCCGGGTCCGTCCGGGGGTTGGAGGAGGCGGGCGGGAGCCGACTCTGGCTGCCTCAGGTTAGTCCTGAGGCGGTCTGGCGGTGTGTGTGTGGTGCCCGTGTCCGTGCGCACGTTTCTGTGCCTGGCTGTAGATGCGGGCCGTCAGTCCGCCCTGGGGGCAGCGAGGGTTGGGCGGGGTGGACGGGGAGGGCTTCGGGCACAGTGCTGTGCTGCCCCGTTCCTGGCTTCCTGCATGCTTAGCCTGGCTTTTGGTGGTTTAAAAGGTGCGAGCTGTGCGAGAGGCTGGATAAATAAATAGGAAGGGAAGTGCTAAGTTAGAGCAGAGTCAGAAAATCAGCAAAGAGAAATATGCCAGGCAGGGCCCACTGAAGCAGTGCCCTGGTAATGTGCTGCTGACTGCATGGACGGCACAGAAGGCTGCAGAAGGACCTGATGGTCAGTTGTGTTGTCCTTCTGTAACCAAAGCGTTCCGGCTTTTCTTTCAGACATGGCTCCATACTATGAAGCGCTGTGCAAGTCTCTGGAGTGGCAGATAGACACGGAGCTGTTGAACAAAATGAAGAAAGCTAATGAGGAGGAATTGAAACGGCTTGACAATGAACTGGAAGATGCTGAAAAGATCTTGGGGGAGAGTGAAATCCGAGATGCGATGATGGCCAAAGCTGAGTACCTGTGTAGGATTGGGGACAAGGTGGGCTCATCGCTGTTGTGCTCAACCTGGCAAGTGGCTGAGCACCACACAGTCATTCACTCAGTCCCTCATCTTCCCAGTGGGAATGGGGGAGAGAACTGGGGGTGAAAACAGGGGGAGCAGAACTGCTGGGTTGAGTTAAAACTATTTACTAAGATAGAGAAGAGGAAAAGAATGATTGTTATGATTATGTATATATGTGAACGTATTTGTGCATGTTCGTATATGGATATATACATACATATGTAATATAACTTATATATCAATTTATATAACAAGTGATGCACGAGCAGTTGCTTATCGCCCCCCAAACGTCAGAAGAGAGTGAGATGAACTCCCATCCCCTTCAAAACTCTCCTTCTGCATGATGTTGTATGGTATGGGATTGCCCTTCGACCTCTGTCCTAATTCTGTCCCCTCCCAGCTCTTTGGAACCCCTCCTCCCCAGCCCTTCCCTAATAGGAGCTGAGAAACTGGAATGGCTTTGGCTCCCCAACACTGTTTAGCAACAGCTAGAAACATTGGTGTGTTATCAACATTGTTTCTCTCCTAAAACCAAAGCATAGTATCATGCTAGACCCTGAAGAAAAACAATTCTGTCCCAGCTGAAACGAAGGCAGTAGCACAGGTTTTCATGTAGAAACACAGCATTGTAATCTCTGTAACTGGGTAGATTTCAGGGAGTGGTGAATGGAAACTGGCTGCCTTGCAGTGGGTTTTTTCTATGGCACAGTACATACATGGGTGAGAGATAGGGGGAGGGTGTTGCTGAAATTAAAATTAAGCAGTGAAAAACAAGTAGGCTGTAAAAGAAGACACTTGTCCTGTAAAGGGAAAAAGCTGTTTTCCATTTGTAGATGTTGTTTTTCTCTTACCTCGTGTCTTTAGTCAATGGAATGCAATTAACGTACTGACAACAGATGTTTTGCAAATATTCTGGTTGCTTTGAACTTACTTATAATGCAAATGGTGATTTTGTTAGGAGGGAGCTCTGACTGCGTTCCGCAAGACTTATGACAAAACTGTGGCACTGGGACATCGTCTGGATATTGTGTTCTATCTCCTACGGATCGGCTTGTTTTACATGGACAACGACCTCATCACACGGAACATTGAAAAGGCAAAAAGGTACTGTTTGGGTTGGCTGAGTGCATTAAAGCACTTTTCAGACAAACTGTAGAAAACTAAATGGGAAAAAACCCACCTTGCCATCAAGAAATGACAGTGACAGCCTATGAGACAGAATCACAGAATGATGGGCAGGTGTTAACTTGGACTAGAGAGTTTCCTATTTCTCAGTCTTTTATGAGGGCAGAAATAATAGCAAGGCTAGTCTGTTGTTTCAGCTATTTTTCAAGCAACTTGATTGGACTTTGCCCCCCTTTCTCTCTTCTGTAGCTGTTAGAAGACAAGTTTGGATGTAATGATGCTGTACAATGAAGTGCAGTGTAGGGATGCCACCTGAACCCAGCACGTCCAGCTGGCTTGATAAATTGCCAGTTTCTCCTCTAGAAGCAGGAGCCCAGTGCCAGCATGTTATTCCCTCATTTTCACAGTTAGCTTATCTCTGCTGTCAGCATTTAATACTTCATTGTTACAAACTTTTCTTATAACATAAAGTTGATGTGATTAATGTGATTATTGAAAGTTTGGCTATTTCACTGGTAACTTCTTTCTATGCTGTTAGTTGGACAGTTTTGATTTTAGCAGCAAAAGAAATGGAGGTCTGTTGTTGCAGCTGATGTTGATGGTAATATTTATGTGCACATCTCAAGGAAGTGTCATTGCTACCCTGGGAGGTACATGAAACCTAGATTGTTTCTACAAGTTGTAGCATATAAGAGATTTTGCTTTTCTCTAATTGCATGCTATCAGTTGATTTACTGTACTTGTTTCCTGTGACTTGTCCCATAATAATTTTACATAAGTATTTTTCTTTTTGTTCTATTTTAAGTCTAATAGAAGAAGGAGGAGACTGGGATAGGCGAAATCGTCTAAAAGTGTACCAAGGTCTGTACTGTGTAGCTATTCGAGATTTCAAACAGGCAGCAGAGCTCTTCCTTGATACAGTTTCAACGTTTACATCCTATGAACTTATGGATTACAAAACATTTGTAACCTACACTGTCTATGTCAGCATGATTGCATTAGACAGACCTGACCTTAGGGAAAAGGTAAGGAAAGCAAGTGATACCTGGTTCCAACAGACCCAGCCTTTCTTTAACCTGCTTATCTCTGGGCTAAAAGGAATAGTATTTAAACATGCTTCTCCTTTGTTTTCAGGTTATTAAAGGAGCAGAGATTCTGGAAGTGTTACACAGTTTGCCAGCTGTACGACAGTATCTCTTTTCTCTTTACGAATGCCGATACTCAGCCTTTTTCCAGTCATTAGGTAAGGCTGTCTTGTTTCTTGTAAGAGCATTTCAGGTGCTATAGTGGTTTGTTTCACATCATTCACAGTTTCTGTGGAATAGTTACAGTCTACAACTAGAGCAGAAAAACCACAACTTAGAAATTGATGTAAAGTTTGATGCTGTATGATTAAAACTAAACGTGTAGTGAGCCTCATAAAACATTGCATCTAATTAACTGGAAAAGACTTGGAAAATAGCTATGGAGCAGCATTTTACCTGAATAACCAGGTCAAATGGGTAAGCTTTGGAAATCTGATCTTTGAAGTAAACCAAAGCCCTTGTGCCTGGGGACACTGAAATCTCAGCCTGTAATTGAAGCTTTCATCATTGTTATCATTTCCAGTTTGGCTTCTGTATAGAAGGCTGACTGAAGGAAAGCTCTTCTTCAAACTTTTGTCATTCTTGACAGTTCTTTTTAGAAAAGCAGAAAATTAGATATTTAGAATAAGCAAAAAGAACTCTTCGTTCTGGACTTTATTTGTAGTGCAAATGTTTCCCTGCAGTACACAGGGAACAGTGATTGACATCCTAAAAGTATTCCATGATGACAAGTAGGATCATTAGCTTTGCCATAATATTGCTTGTGTTTAATTACTACTTCTGTTTCTAGAACTACTATACTTTTTACAAACTTATTTTTGTATAGCACAGAATACCTTTCATATCCTGAACTATGCAAGATAGTAATGTAGTTTTGTTCACACTGATTACGTGTTAACTGTTTGATTTACCTGGATGTTACTTCGCATTTCTTACTGATTAGATTTCTTTTTCTTGTTTCAGCTATTGTAGAGCAGGAGATGAAGAAGGATTGGTTGTTTGCACCTCATTATCGATATTACGTAAGGGAAATGAGAATTCATGCATACAGCCAGCTCCTGGAATCCTACCGCTCACTGACATTAGGATACATGGCAGAAGCATTTGGAGTCAGTGTAGAATTCATAGATCAGTAAGTTGTTAAGCTTTTTAAATAAAATGTTTGTTTTAAACCTACCTAAGTTATGCTTTTGTGGAAGAGATTGGCTGCATTTGAATATAACGTTTGAGTAAAGAAAATAATTTGATAAAGTTTCTCATGAAAACTATTGCAGTTCTCCTTTCACTCTGAGAGTCATATGAAAAACTATTCTTCTGTGAATAATTCTGTTCTTTATCCTGCTATTTTTATGGACCTTAATAAGCCATAACCTTTAACATTTTAGAGGACAGCATAGTCCACAAATACACCAAGGTAAATACTCACATTCACACACATTATCTGCCCTACACGTCTCATTGTGTAGCTTTGCTTGCTTTCTGCTAAGTAAATAGAATCTGCTGTTTTTAACTTAAATCAGACATACATTGCAGTCTCAATTCACAATTCATTTTCTGGTGTAAGAAACAAAATCAGATTTAGATCATGATGCTAATTAATATGAAGTGAGAAAGTGACTTTTACCTTGGCTATGTATGTGAAACGCTTTGTTTCGAATGCTTTCACAGGAATCATTCTTCTCTCATAAAGAAATTTCAGATTTTCTAACATAGAAAAGCGTTACAGAAATATGAATACTGCTTGAAATGTTCAGAAATGAATTAATAGGTGTTTCAAGAGACACCAAATACCATTCAATTCAGAGGTAAATGTTTCTAAGTCATACTAGCTTTTGTGCTTCTCGGTAATTTATTAGTAGTTGTGGCTTTATCTTACTGCATATCCCAGGATTTATTATTAGTATTTATTTATTATAATATCAGCAATGTCACGTGGAACACTGGCTGATTAAGTAAAGCAAACAAAATGTTTAGAAGTGCTAGGAGACTCTTTAAATGAATTGGCAATATTTATATCAGGATGAATTCTGGATGTGTGTGATACATGAGTGCCACCTCTGGATTTGAACAGCTGAGCTAAATGATGAGACTCACTTAACTTGAGAGTGAGATTTTGGCTTGAGAAGAAAATATTAAGACAGCTTGTATTAAGATTGTTGGAATGATGGTGCTTGTTTCGTGTCCAAGCTTTAAAAAGATGAGAATGTATAAGACACCTTATGAAAATGTATTGCATGTCATGGTAATCTATTTCTGAAGTACGTTTTGTAGCAGCAGATTCTATGCTTGCAGGCCTGTAGTTCCTTGGTGAAGTGTTGTTTAACAATTTTGGTTTTTTTTTCTCTCTTAGGGAGCTTTCGAGATTTATTGCAGCTGGGCGATTGCACTGCAAAATAGACAAAGTAAATGAGATTGTAGAAACTAACAGGTAGGACATCAATTCCTAGAAATTGAATTCTGTACATTTTGATCACATTTATGTTTATGTAGTAAGTTTCATAAGGTAAAAGATCTCAACTCTAAATGCTTTTTTTTTTCCCCTTCACAACTTCTAGGCCGGATAGCAAGAACTGGCAGTACCAAGAAACCATCAAGAAAGGAGATTTGCTGCTAAATAGAGTTCAGAAACTTTCCAGAGTAATTAATATGTAATTTTTCTAATGCAAGGGAATGCAAAATGTAGATGTTTAAACCATTTTGGAAGTAACCTATAAATATATTGTATAACTTGGTATACTGTAGGTAAAAAAAAAAAAAATAGTAGCGAGAGAGCTCATGTTTTTACTTTCCACTTCATTATGTACACAATGTTTATGTACACTGGGGGATGGATCCCAGTTCATTTATTAAATGTCTGGTACAATTGATCTCTTGTAATATATTTTATTCCTTCACTTGAATGTGTGTAATGTTCAATACTTTATAACAAAGCGAGTCAAGATCTGTACAGAAAGAACACAGTGATCCTTTTTCTAAGACCTTTATATTTGAATCAAAAGAAATAATTGCATAATAATGAAATAGCCAAAAATTTGCTATTTTTTGAGCACTGTCAAGACAGGATCAATTCTTACCATGAGAGAATTGCAGTGTAAGGCAGAAAGAAGAGGCATTTTCTTTTTCTATAACTGATACAGAGCAGGGTGTGAAGACTTCAGTTCTGGCTGCTTTTTGGTAACATCTTTTTGATGTTACCAAACTGTATCTGTTTAGATACAGATGTTAAGGATGTTAGATGATACTACTACAAAACAGCATGAGCCATAGGGCTCACTGAGGGATTTGCTTTCTGGTGCAGAAGTGAATTTTCCTTTCAGAATATTTGTATTTCTGAAGATGACAGCACTGTGTAGAACAACGGGAATTGCACTGGATGATTCTTAAAGACCCTCTGACTTGCCTCAGTGTGATTTCTGATCTGAGTGTAGCGCTTCAATTTCCATGTCAAGCAGAAGTGATAGGATTTCTGCTTCCTTTAAACACTGAGGTAACTCATTTATCTTTCACTGTCTGATGATAACAGTGCATTTTCCTTTGGCTTGTTTTAGCTCGTGATTTCAATTTAATTCTGATTGTGTCAGTCTGACCCAGTTTGTGGGCTGGTCCTGACACCTAGCTGTAGATTTATAGTCTGCATGCCAAAGTTGTACATTCTCTCTCGTAATTTAATCCTGTGCAGTTCCTTGAACTACTGCCATTCTCCAATTTCCCCTTGGGAGGCCAACTTAGCTCTGGCACTGAGGTAGTTGGACTCAGTTGCTGCTTCCAAGCTGCAGCCTTACGACCCTGACGCTTCCCCCCTTGCTCTGCACTGTATTAGCCATCATTAAGCACTAGTCTGTGGGTGAAGCTCTTCTACAAAGTAGTTGAAATCTAGTTTGTGTGTGACTGTCCTTTGGTTCACCTGTGTCTGCTGGCCTACCACAGGCTCCGTTTCATCCCTCACTGAAGATTGGGCTCCAGAGCTTGAGCTCTAGCCTTGCAGACAACAACATTTGCTTTTGAAAAAAAAAATAAAATGACCGGTTGTGGTCAGGAATGACGCAGGTAAGTGAATGGAACTCAGCTATAAAGCAGAGGATGGAGGAAACTTCCAGCACTGTTAGAGAGCAACAGAACCAAGCAGCAGTGCTCTGTCCTTGCTGATTTGTATGGATTGGGCAACAGCTGTCAGTGACAACCGTATCTCGCTGACTTGGATGCAGCCTGCTGCCTGCATGTCTCAGGATGGTTTTCCTTCCTTGCAATGAAGTTTTAATCCAGGTTAATTTGAACAACTTCAGAAAAGGTTTATGAGAGTTTTCTGAAGTTTGGTGCACCAGAAGAACAAAAGCAAATGAAGCACATGCTGCTTTTCTGCAACAAAGGTCCCATGCTGCTTGTTAGGAACCAATCCAATAGCTAATGCAGTATTGAGCCAAAGCACTGAGAAAAGCATTCAGTCGAATTAAGTGCTTCACAGCAGATCATACAAGCCCACGTGTGTTTGATTATTTGTTGCAGCAGAACGTGATGATAATAAAGGAACCCAAATTTGCATTTAAATAAAGCCAATGGCAAGCTCTTCTATCAGCTGCTTCAGTAGCTGGCGTAAGTAATGACGGCAGGCTGCGGTGTGCCATGGCTCACAGGGCTCTGCTGTGCTCACTGCACGTGTGGTGAAGGCATGGAGCCAATGCCTCATCCTGGCTATAGGCATCTTCCTTGAGAGTGGCAGCAGAGGCACTACTTTCTGTCCACAAACTCCAGGACTTAAGTAATGGCTGGGCTATGCTCCAGCTGTGATCAAAAGGAGTTTTCCATGGCAAACCTCTGCTACTGAGCCAATGAACTTGCTTTGCTGGGAGAAGCAGCAGCAGAGGGCAGAGGCTCTGCTCATTCCCATGCAGAGTTGCAGTGCAGTGTGCCCGACAGCAGTGCCCAGTGCAGCAAAAGGAGAGACAGCACTTGCAGAGCTCCAGGACACCTCACAGAGCTCAGTTATAGGGATAAACTCAGCTGGTTTTCTTTACCTTGTCAGTCTTAGGGGATACAGCATCCTATTTTAAACGCAGCTGAAAGCAATCACACCCTCAATTCTGCATCAGATGCAGATGGCTCTGATGGCAAGCAAGGCTCTGCTGCATGACTGCACGTCTCTGGCAGGGCTCAGCACAACTCCAGTGCCAGCAGCTGATAGCAGGGAGCAGGAGTTAGAAAAGAAAGGGGGAAAAAAAACAGACAATATTTGCAGGGAGGCGAGATAACAACAATCAGCCAACATCACAGTAACACAGCTATCGAAACACTGGTACTGGAAGCAAAGCACCTGCTTATTGCCTGACCCCCATTTCTTCCAGCATTCATTCCAAGTGCTGAAAAATACCTCATAGTGCTAAAATAAGAAAAAAAAAAAAAAAAAGAAACTAAAACAAAAAGAAGAGCACTGCTGTGGCTGTGGAGTCGGACCGGTTGTGCAGAGCTCCACACAGCTTGCCTGCCCCATCAAGAGCTGAGTCACAGCTCTTTGGTTCCTCTGAGCGGTGAGGGATTGGAAAATGAAGCAGAAACATCGGATGCGTTCCATGCAACCAACCTCATTTATTGAAAAGTCCTAATTTTATTGCCTTGTTTAGTAACATGTTTGTTCAACAAACTAATCTTTGTCATGAAGCAAAGCACAACTTTTTCTTATAAATAGTATAAATTATTTTATTTACAGAAACTTGTTACAAAACAAATAGACTATATATTTATTTTTCTTTTAAATATCCAAAGTAATTTTTCTATCCCATGACATTTGTTCATGTACTATACAGCAGCCAACACGGAGTTCAGCTGATCAGATGCTCTTGATTATGTATACAAATTATCAAACTATTCACACATTGTACACAGGAGATTGCTTTTAGAACCAGGCTCAACACCGAGCAAGATGCTTTCAAGGCCTACATTCACATTGACATTATGTAGTGCTCATTTTTAAAATTATCATCTTTAAAACGTAAAATATCTCGCATAAAATGTAAAAATGATTATTTTCTGCTCAACAGCGAAACGTGAAGAATCTTTCCAAGCCCAATTCCCTCCTCCGGGACAGAATGAGTGAGAGATGAGAGAGATTCCTTGGCAAGAGAACTCTTACAGGAAGACAAACTGCCTTAGAAATGTCATTTGGAAATCACATCTTTATTTTTGAGTGGTGTCGAGAGGTACTTACTGGGTTTTTGTTTTCTTTTCCCGGAATATGGACTTTTTTTGAACATTTCCTAAGTTGTTTCACTTATGGATGAATAATCCCCCATCCCCTTCCTGCCCCAAATGACACAGTTAAATCCACTGCTGGTTAAAGTAAGCCCACGTTCCAAACTCTTGGCGTTACTCCCACTCTGCATTACTAATGGGATTGTTCCAACACAAGGTACTCCAATGGAAACATCGTACAAAAGTCACCAGCATTGTTTGCTTTTCTGCTGCCAATCCATCTTAACAACTTCAGAATATATATATATATATAAACGTGTATGTATATATATGTACACACACATATACACACACACATCTATTATATATAGGTGGAAAAAGCAAGCTCCGAGATTTCAACTGAACATTCAAGTCATTTAAGGAGAAGCTGTCTCAGCAGTCCGAGCTCAGATCGAGTTATATCAGGCACTTTCAGTTTTTTTCCTTTAGTTTGAAACCACATGAGACCCACAGGGACGCGCACACACACACACCAACACGAAGCAAAGAGAAGCAGTGTGTCACTAAATGGAGTCCTCTGGGAATCAGGCAACTGAGAAGCAACGCCGGAGCGAGGGACGTGGCCAGGGATGTGGCTCCAGGCACATGGAGGCATCCCTTGAGTTGCAAAGTAGGCATGTTGCTATTGGCTTGGCAGTGAACCACTTCAAATTATATATATATATATATATACACACATATATATATATAAAAGAAAAGGTATTTGCTTTTCCTTCTTTTTTTTTTTTTTGCCTTTTTTTTTTTAATTAATTAATAAATAAATACTAGATGATCTCAATTGTACCAAAACTGGATATCAGAAAAAAAGACCTGTGCAAAAATACATATTTAAATATGTACAATCAATTAACAAAATACGTCTTCTGAAATAGGGATACTTCAATATTTATAATAGAACAAGAAATTCCAAAATAAAGATACAAAAGTATGTTTTTCTTTTTCTTGTATAATTCTTTGTTCATCATTGCAGCAATGTTTTTAGGTTAAGAAAACTGCAGGAGTCATAACGAGAAGTCGGAAAGACTATAAAAAGTGTATCTCTTAAATTAATACCAAAATCTGTCTAGAAACAACCCAGCCACTGCAAATTCATTTTTGCAAGGAAAATTGATTTTCAGCTTCCTTTGTTATTTACAGTCAGAACCAGGGGACAGCAGGAGCTCCAGGAACAACGCTCTGCTTGTAGCCGACATCTCAAACACAACATGGAAGCAGCTCTATGCCCAGGGCAGACAGACCTGCAGTGCTGCAGCCCGCTATTCCAGCAGCTTCCAGCCTGGCTCTGCTCTCACTTTACGTGCTGCCGGAGGAGCACGAGTTTGCCATTTTGCTTTCAGATCAACAGAACCTTACGAACGGGGCGAGTTTGGTCACAAACTCACGAGATTCCATTCTTGCCAAATTGTTGTCTCCTTTGTATTTAGAAGAGTCAAATTGCACTTGTGACTGAGACCGTCCCAAAGTGACATTTCTGCCCCAGAGATTTCATCACAGCATGGATTTGATTCCACACGTGCGGGACTTAAGGATGCATTCTCATTTCTCTTTGTGACATAATACTTTGGTTCCTTTCACCTTCAACCCATCACAGTTCCAACAATCCTTTCAGTAGGGCGCCTTATTAATTATCCTTCTGTTCCTGAAAAGTTGCCTGGGATTTTGTTTGTTTTTTTTTTTTTTAAATTAAAGTTTGCATAATAAGAGTCTATAACACGTCGCTTTCTAAGAGTGATCTTTTATATCAATTCAAAAGCTCAAGTGTCTGCATAGAGGCTGCTTGCTTTGCTGTACGACACCGGTTTTGTAGCAAGTTCAGATGAAACTGAAAGCACGGTCAGGTAAACAACTCAGCGACTGCTACTGGTAGTGGCTTTGGATTCCCTGATGTACAACTTGCCACCGAAACGGGGAAGGCTGGGCAACGGGAACAACGTGACAGGCTCAGATTGTCTGTTCTCAGCGACAGCTGGTGCCCCTTTAAGGCAGAAAAATGTCTTCTTGGTCAATACTTTGTTTGCCTTGGCTTTGCCCCTTCAGAAAAGTTCAGTCCGTTTTGAGACTTTACCTAAAAACTTAACAAAAGAACCCCGACAAACCAAACCCCAGTACAACGAGCCCTTGAGCGGAATTCACTTCTGAGGTGTTCCGAAGCAACACAGAACATTTCCTACAGACTGAGAGGGTGCACAGAACCGTGCAGAGCCCCTGACTCGCAGTGCCAGGCAGGAGCACCACGGCTGCAATGTGCACAGCTGCACATGAACTCAGCTGTGATCCACTCCCCAATTTTGGGGAAATAAAATAAAATCTGAGTGGTTGAAAGCATTAACGCTTCAGTTCTACAAAGAAGGCATAAAATAAGTGACTTTTATTATTACTATTATTACTATTTTTTAGAAAATATTTAAATAGTTTAAATACTTCACTTTAAAAGGGCTATTTTTTTTTTTTTTTACAGGCTGGAAGGCCAAGCCAGCCTAACATAACCAACACGGTTGTTATTTTACAAATAACAAAGGTTGATGGCATACAGTAAAGGTCAAGAAATACGTTCTTTGGGCACATAGTTCTAGAGGTTATTTGCCTTTGCTTCATATTTTTGGACTGCTTAAAAAACAACTAACTTCAGTTTTCTTCTGCAATCAGATCTTATCCAAAAGAATAAAAAATAATTTCTGTATCACCCAAGCACAACGTTTTTATACTTGTTTTCTGAGCCATGGCGTCAAACAAGTTTTTGCTGTTTACTGTTCCTATCGGTGTTTTAACGTTTGTTTGTTTTTAAACTCCTGATACCTTCTTACCCCAAATCACTTGCAAAAGGCTGGGCAAAATGCAGACTGCTTGTTTGAATTGTGCTATTTTTATATTCCATTAAAGGAACATTGCTATAAAAACACTAAAGCCATATTCCCTTCTCGAGGGCTTCTTTCCATTGTGCCTCACGCATTTTTGCCCCTTGTCGTGGGGTCCCCTCTGCTGACAGTGTCCACCTGGCAGCTATCACCTACAAAAGACACCATCAGTATAAAAATAAGTCCACAGTAATGTTTATTTCCCCCCCCAGAAAACATTCCTTTGCCCAGCCAATCTATGTCAAATAGTGGCAAGATGATGTACTCCTGTAAGTAAATCTCACGGATTTGTAGCAAACTAGTCCAGACCACTGTTAACACTGATAAGAGCAATTATGTGGCTGAACTTCATCCAGTGTCCATTTCTAGTATTTTCACTGCTACAGACATGGCTTCAGGGAAATTCCTTGTTTGAATGACAGTCCAGTAGATTTCCACACCTGAGGACCATGGGAAGCTGGGAAAACTCAAGGCATCTTGGAGTCCAGAATTCCAGATGGAGGTTTTGCTTGTAGTGAAAACTGTCCAGTTCTTTTCTCACCATGGTATATTCAGCTATCAGGGACGTGCCTTTGGCTTTTGAGCAAATAAATGGAAGAGAAGTATGAGTGAGCCAGGCTGTTATAGCAGGAGCTCCTAAAAGACATTTTCTGGACATTGAGAGCATATTTTGGGGAGAATCAGCAGGCATAATCTGACACACCACTCATATGCAATTGGCTCATCTGAAAATTCACAATTCTCAAGCTAGTGCTTTCTCAAGTTATAGTGGTTTTGGACATGACTTCCTTCCTTCAAATTGCATTTTTTCTTTATTTTTTATTGCAGTTGAAGTAACAACTGTTAGCTAAGCCCAAAAATAAGGTTCAGTCAAATAAATGTTTGTTATCTTAAACACAAGTGGTGAAAGTCTTCTTCGCAGCTGAAACTCAAAATTCAGCAGCTGATCTGAAAAAGATCTCGCTGATCTCCTACTCTTGGCATGCTCAGATTTCAGGCTTTTAGCACCAGAGGAAACAAAAAGAGCCTTGAGTTTTCATATGGAAGAATCTAGTTTCAAATTTGCCTTCTAAAATTCCATCTTCTCTACACTTTTAATTGCATATGAAATTATTTTAGCTCTCCAAATGATCCTTCAAGTCAATCTGAAGCCTTAAGAACTTTAAGATCATTTTAACTTATGAAGAAACTTCTTTCCCAACACTATTCCAGTGCAACCTGTTCAAAAGAGTAAAACTCCAAACTAACTTTTTCTTTTTTAAAGTTACATACCCACAAGATCTGCTTCTTTTATAGTAAATGTTTGTTTTATAGACTACAAAGGTTTCTATCTACCTTATTTATAAAATTTAATCTCGTTAATACTAAGAAGTTAGTCAATGACACCTTGGGATAATAGGCTTATTTATCACAGTTCTGTTATCAGCACCATTATGCTCCACTTCACAGAGTGTTTATTACTGACACGACAACAAGAAGTTAGGCTGAGACATTCAGTTCAGTCCCATGGCTGGCTGCAAGATTTTATAATTATTATTATTTGTTTTTAAATGCAAGAATTGAATTTCATCTGAGAGCGACTGACAGGGAGAGCATCTGCAGGAACCTGGCATGTTGTGTTTAAGGTGGCTTCAAAAATACATAAATAAACTCACACTTCATACTACAGCGTTCATAAAAATCCTGCACAAATGTACTTTAAAAAAGACTCAGAGTACAAACAAGTAAGAGAACTGCCTCTTCCTTGAAGCATCTGAAATTGGCTATTAGTAATTAAGAGAGCACATCTAAATATCAGCACACGAAGAGACGCGTTCGTATTGGTTTACTTCAAGACAAAAGTTCCTACCTGATGAAGAAGAGAATTGTTCATCAGTCCTTGTGTCCCTGGGATTGCACCAGTGTGTTTTGCGTGAACGTTATTCACCGATGGCAATTTGGCAACTTTGTTTGACTTGCTGCTGCTGCTGCTGTTTATGCTGCTTGAACCAGGTGGGCACTTTCTTTTCTTCCCTATTAGTTTGTCTAGGGAAGGATGTGAATGTGAAAAACCGCTGTGCGAGTTCACAGTCAGCTCACTGGACTGATGAACAAATGGCCCTAAGGAGAGAGTGGAATCGCTGCTGTTCATCATCACACTCATTCTTTTTATTGATTCTGCAGGGCTTCCAGTAGGAGGACCCCTCCCTGATTGGTCATGTTTGAGGCTAACGGAGTTAGCTTTGCTAGTCATACAATTGAGGCCAACGCTGTGGGACGAAGATGTCACCGACGGATGATAGGAGGTCCCAGAGTTTCCAGAGTTAACCACACAGTTTTTTCTAAAGGACTCTGTGGAATGAGAAGGTGCTAGCAGTGCGGAACTGTTTTTACGCTTCTTTCCTGAGCCGCCGCCGCTGCTGACGCTGCCGGTGCTGTTACAGGTGCCACTGCCAGCAGAAGATTCCTTAGGTTTAAAAGATTTGCTGGATTTCAACTTCTGAGGTTTGCTGGGCATAGGTGAAGGTACAGAGGAAAGCACTGTAGGTGTTGAAGGGGACGAAGACACTTGTCTTGATTGCATACTGCAGACAGGATCCACTGCACCCAAGGTAGCGGGATTTGCATTTAGTGTAGTTCCATGTGATGGTACCGATTTATTGTTCAGAGACGTACAGGAAGGAGACACCAGAGCTGGAGAGGACATAACAGTGGTGGGGAGGAGGAAACCCGTCGTGCTGACCCCATACTGCGAAGCAGGTATCGCATTTGTCCGGTGCGGTGCACGAACTGCTGCTGTGCTACTGGATGCTGGTGGAATTTTCCTGTGGGTAAAAAGGAAAAGAAAGAAACAGGTAGCTCCCACTCTTTGGGATGATATTTAGCAACATCAATCAAGAGATGCAGTCACTCCGGTATAAGATATTTTGCTGGCACTTACTAGTTGCAAGAAAAAGATGATGAAAGGTTGAGAGAACTGGGCTTGTTTAGCATAGAGAAGGCTCCAGGGAGACCTCACTGCAGCCTTCCAGTACTTGAAAGGAGCATATAAACAGGGGGGGGGGCGGCTGTTTGTGAGGGTGGATTGTGATAGGACAAGGGGAATGGTTTTAAACTGAGACAGGGGAAGTTCAGGTTAGATATTAGCAGGAAGTTTTTCACACAGAGTGGTGACACACTGGAACAGGTTGCCCAAGGAGGCTGTGGATGCCACATCCCTGGAGGCATTCAAGGCCAGGCTGGATGTGGCTCTGGGCAGCCTGGTCTGCTGGTTGGCGACCTGCACATAGCAGGGGGTTGAAACTGGATGACCACTGTGGTCCTTTTCAACTCAGGCCATTCTGTGATTCTACGAAAACGGAAAGCATATGCCATTCACCTTTGACTTCACTAATCTAAAGAAAGGATTATTTTTCTGTAACTAGAGTTACAGGTTTTGTGTATTTCTACAAATACCAACAAGAATAAGAACTCTTCCACTTGTACTCACTTCCACATCTGCGAATTAAGATGCTTCTCCACCATGAAGTTAAGTGCACATCGAATATGGTTCCACCGCTTATCAAACACGTAATAACCTCTTCCAATCTGCCGACTACCAAATGTGCAAAACTGAAAAGACAGATTTTTTTATTGGAGTTTCCTACTTTCAGTAACAAAACATTTGTTTATACATACATGCAGAATTATTATCATTTCTAGATGTCTAAAGCACGGATAAAACAGATGTTATGCTGTAGAGATGAAAATTTAACAACTATCTTCAATTTTGTACATGTAACCATCTCTTCTGAGTAGCTGTCAGCTCACCTGCTTTTAGCCTGTATAGCCTAGCCAGGCACTGAAGTCTGTGATTTAATATAAACTAAGTGGTTTTAACAGGCAGAAATCAGAAGAGAGGTGCATCTATTGCTAAGATTGTACCTTAAGGTTCATCTTGTTTCTTCAAAGAAGCAGTCAACATTTTGTCAAAAACAGTAACAATAAATCAACCTCCAATATCAATTAATAAGAAAATAAGTACCTTAAAACCTGAAAAAATATATACATAATAGAAATCCATCCGTAAAACCCCCAAGTTACTTGTTTACAAATTCAGAACCAGTGAGAGACCAAGGTTAACTTTGACTTAAAACATACAGCGGCTGGTTGAGGATGATGACCTGAATAATGACAATCCAGTTTTTCAACAGGCTCTTCTTTTTCATCACATTCTCCCTCATCACTGGATAACCGAGATGCTGGCTCAGCTGCAGGCAAGAGAGGGTGAGGGGACTCGTGGACAGAAGGAGAATCGCTAGGGGCATTTCCACTGTGCTGGGCTGGACAGCCTGGAGGCCTGGGCAAGGGAAGTAGCAAAGGTGTTACTGAGGCAGGGCTTGGCAATAAGCATTTACAGCCATTTTAGTACTGACAAAAGGAAATTTACATTAACAGTTGTTTGATACGATCCAGAGTCTCATAACATACCTACTTAGGGGAAGGACAGGAGGTGTTGTACTCCTGAAAAAGCAGCAATTGTTGGAAAAATGTTTAAATTGATGCAAGTCAGCTTCTACTATTTAGAACTCCAAACCCTTCTTGCTATGAGTTACAACTCAGCGTGTAATTGTTAATTGCAGACAGTCACCAGGTCTAGAGCAAAAATGCTACCCTGTCCCAAAGATCTCTATCTCTCTTTCAAAATCCACATGATGAAGCAACCAGTATTAATTTCATGCTATTGGATATGCAGATTTTTCTTACCTTGGAAGACTGGGGGGGTGAGGTTTGGGTTTATTAGGTAATAAAGGCTTTGATTCTGTAAGAGTAACTCCATGAGAATTTTGGTGCAGCTCCTGGGAAGTTTTAGTAGGTGAGGGATGTGGTTCCCTGAGAGGGGGCATCTGCTGATGATGATCCGAATGTCGAAGAAGTTCCTTTTCCCTGGTTTTGCTTTTGTGCTCAGCTAACAACACATCAAATCGTTTTCTTCGACCCTGTACAGCCCTCCGCTGCGTTAAGGAATGTGTCTGCAAATCCATGAATAAATCATTAATCCCAAGGCATTAGATCTGTGGAAATTAAACACTCAAGACACATGTCTAGAGCTCCAGAATACAGAATACAGACCATCACCACCATGGCTTAGCAAAAAAAAAAAAAAAAAAAAAAAAAAAGCAGAAGAATGACAGAACAAACTTGGACAGTTTTGGTAGTGTGATTATATGCCTGCTTGATACGAAATAACGGAAAATAGCAATTGAGTTAAAATTTGTTTCAAATTTCTTTTCAAAAGAAGAAATTACCAAAGTTCAGTTCCTGCAACTTGTTAGTGACAGCTTCATTTACCTTTGTTCTGGACAGGGCTTATTGACCTGATGCTTCCTCTCCTAACAGTTTAGCTGCTTTCCATAAGAGTGTCTAATCATTACACAATTGCAGGAGATTGGGATTTTCTTGGGGACTGACTGATACCCACTTCTCCCTCAAAGACTTTTGAACCAAAGAACGCATTTTATCTGATAGAAAGTTCTTACAGGTTGCTTTATTTTGGTTTGACCCCGAGCTGTACCTCCCAGCATCCTCAGCAGACTCATTTCTGAGTAAGTTGCAGGGGTCCATTCAGTGGCACCAGCGTTTGCACAAACACCTGCTAAGTATTTGCTGCAGGTTTTGCTGGGAGAAAGGGAAGGATACAGCTTGGCTGTGCTATGTACACGTGGAGTTAGAAACATTCCAGTGACAGCATCCGTGTTTCAAAAGTTTATACAATAATGAAGAACTGCAGGTTACCTTAAGAAATATGTTTCTGGATAAATAATTAACTGGATTTTGAAAACAGCTCTTTCTTGGTTGTTGGCAACGTGCTTTGAAAGGAAGCATTTACAGAGGCAATTACCGACTGCAAAAACTTGTACTTCTCTGTGTTCTGTTATATTTCCTTGGAAATCAAATGTAAACTTTACAAAATCTTACTCTGATTAAGATATCCTACCTTGCATGTCAAAGACCTAGTACAGGGTTTCTTGGTTTCCACATCAATGACACCACAGTATATATCAGGATCAAATTCTCTCTCTGTCAAAGATGCACAAATATCCCATCATTGAAAACAGTTACAATAAAGACATTTTGAAATACTAACATTTTCTTTACCGAATTTAACTATACTGCCAATGTTTTCAAGTAGTACACAAGCAAATGTACACAAAGATATGAACAATAAAACTGTACAAATGCATTTATTTACTCTCAGCAAATTTACCACGTGCTGATACAGTTCTCAAATCTGCAAATAGAATTGAGAAATTCACAGCTGAAAGAGACCACAAAGCAGGAGTGTATCAGCTGCATTAGGATTTACTTGTTTTTTTAAGTACACAAATGATCTTGCAAAACAAAAAACATACTTAAATGCCATGAGAAATATGAACACAGGGTGATTTTTTGCTGTTGTTCTTGGTTGTTTTAATAACTTTTCCATATTTCTACCAACAACCAAAATTACTGCACTGTAATACTGTTTTCATATAGGAAAGAAGGAAAATTAAACCTCTTTAAAGATAGTGGAAGAGAGAAACGTTAAAACACAAACTGATAACTGTAACATCAGGTGGTTTCTGAAAGCAACAGCCACATTTCAAGTTGTTTGCATCCCTTATGAATGTGTCTAATCATAAATTTAAATTCTAATAGGTAAGTGTACTTCATTACAATTTAGGTGTTCTAAGAATAAATATTAATATACTTCTAAAGGTTATTTCCATATGTGTATTTCTACACGTACACTAATAATATAGCAAATAATATTTAAAAGCAATTACCTGACAATCTTTTATGTAAAAATTTCCTATTATTTGTATTTTCTTCAGGTTTCTTTTCCAAAAATGGAGGCACAGAGAGAAGACCTTTACCATTCAGTATCTGTCCAGGGGAAGGCAAGGGTGGCTTTGGTATTGAGGGACAATTAAGGCCAGTCTTTATTGAGGAACTCACAGTAGTAGAACAAGTTGGACCAACAGCAGCTTTCAGTTGGGCACCATCTATCTTTGGATGAATCTTTTCCACTTTGACAGATGGAGTCATACTATCGTTTATGAAAAATAAACAGAAAAAATTGCAAATGATAGTATAATGTGTCATAAATTACAAAAAGTACTTAAAATATTGTATTGCTCAATACTCAGATCTATTAGCAATACAAATTTAGACTCTCGTCCGTAATTCTCAGTTTTAATATTCTTATTCTTTTTCTTATGTATTTTCACATCTTTGATGATGTCCACCCATTCCTTCTGTGCTCTTTCTGCTGCTTTTTCTTAAGCATTTCAGAGTCATCAGCAACTTCAGAAACTTCTCTACAATGGAGGTATAGAGACTAGATCAAAGAATGAAGACCCCCTAGTAGCACAGCCTTTACTTACAATGACTCAAGGTGCACCTTTGCCAGCGTTGTGCTCAACAATTCCATTAGTTTACCTATCAGCTTAGACTAGGCTGCTTAAAGAGATCTGGTGGAGTTTAAAGTGATCTCTCAAAGGGAAAACCCTCTGAAACAACAAGAAATTCTACTGATACAGCAGTTTCTATGCAAGTATTAACGCTCAATTCTTTCTCAAAATGTATACTCACATTTTATCATGGGGAACTTTGCTATGCTGTACCGGATGCATTAACCTGTTGTTTCCGCTGATCTGCAGCTTGTCTTTGGGTGATTTCAACAACTTGGAACTTGACGACGATGATGATGATGCACTAGTACCTCCACTGGATGAACGATTGCTCCCACTTCCACCGCTACCTTTGTTTTTTGAAGGGAAAGATGAAATGAGGGAAAATACTGAAGAGGAGGGAGGAGTCAAAGGCGGCTTGTTGGAGGAGCTGTGTCTTCTTTCTGAAGAGGAGAAAAAAGAAACAGAAGGGGGACGGAGGGTTAAACTCACAAGGCCCATACAGAAATAATTCTTAAATACTTCACGTTGTCAGTTACTGCATTAACATTTTTCCTTTGCTGGCTTGGGAGATCCTCTGCCACACACGGAGCACTGTGGATTCCCTGTAATCCACGAGGCTCCATTCACTGCTGGTCCTCAGCCAGTTACAGGTTTCTCTTTTAACTTTGTGAGCTACCTTGCTCAATCACTACAGCTTAGATTTGCGATACGCTCCCTGCTCTCCATCTTAACAGAGCAAGAAAGTGATACTCAAATGCAGAGCTCAGAAACACAAAGCAGAGAGTCCTCTACCCCTGGGCCAAGCAAGCTTAATATCAGATTTCCTCAAGCAGTAACTATTCTCTGTTAGCACATCTCCTAATAATCAAACTGATATTGGAGCAAAAACAAAATTTCACTTTCTGATGATCTTCTAGCGTGTCTACCAGACCTTCAGTGTGGAATGCCCCTGAGAACAAGGGCTGAAGCCCTGTGTTACATGCCTTCTGGTTTTCTTCTTATTGATTCTATTAATCCTTTCAAAATATGAACAGCCTAAAGAAGAATTCTATTTAGCAGGAAAAGGAGCAATGTATATTCTTCTTTGAGAAAGGATATCCAAACATTTGAACAGTCAGGTTTTATCAGTAGATAGTAGTTGGAAAAGAAATGATTTAATTAACATGGAAGTGTCAGCATTAAATATAAACCGTTAATACATTTCTAGAACCACTCCAGATAAAACAGTGTATATTTCAGAAGTGTTTTTTTGGGATAATGAATTCTCAGACACAGAATACTCAACAGCTGCACGGAGTTCCCAGCTCTGCCTACACAGACAGCTAACAGAGCATTTGCTCAGCTGATCTTTGGACACCTGTGATTCCTAAATGATCCCTGTACGTAATCAACACCTGCTTAGAGATGTCCCTCTGGCAAACAAGTATATGCAAACCATGGATCTAAGAGAGAACAGAGCATTAACAGGTCCATCTGTGGGTAACACCTCCTTCCCAGCTGATATTGTTAATGGTGCCCACATCCACCACTGGATCCTTAACACATTTTGACTTAAATTTACTTAAGCTGCCAAGGAAGCAGGCTACTCATGACGTTACAACAAAGTGAAAGCCAAGCGCAGCACAACCTGTGCACAAGTCTGTGACGCTATGGAAAATACAAAGTAATACATCCACCTCCTGCTTATGGGATCTGTTTTCCCTCTCCTCCTAAGTACAGCAATCACGTGATATGGGGACAATGGCTGATAAGAACTTCACTCACAGCTGGAAGCTGGAATCTGTGATGTTCATTCAGCATGATCTGCTTAGTTTTCTAGAGCCATATGCCATTGAAGAGTTCTCATGTATGTATATTCTAGTCAATGGCTGTGCTTCTAATATGACATACTGCTTATTGCCAAAAGTCTTTTTATAGCAATGGCAAGAATCCCTGAGCAGCTTTGATAAGTTACTATTTGAGGGCCATTAGTTCAGCGATGCTACACCCTATGAGATTACTCCGTGAGATAATGAGAAAAATTGCTCAGTACTCTGCCAGCTTCTGTGTATTTGGAAAATCCAAAGTCCGAGTACTTAATAGAGTTACAAATAATCTCTAATAATCTAGTGGCCCACTAATGTAATCTTTGGGAGTTTGTTTTGATTTTTTTTCCCCTTTTGGAAAGAATAGTGTTGCTTCCTTGGAAACAGCTTGGCAGGCGAGAAGAGAATGAGCCTAGGATAAGACTGAGTAAGCTCCTGGCCTGCCAGCATTAGGAACAAACTGGGCAAAATATTAATCCGTGTTATTGATTCAAATGATACGAACACTTCTCTCCTGGCAGCTTCAGTTGGTACCATTCAATTAGCTCCAGACAGAGATGTTACTGACTGCTATGTGCATGAATGTTTAGTAGCACCTCTCAGTACACGTGAGTTAATGAAAGAGGCAAATCTGTTACTGCTGATAATCAAAAACACTGACCTAGGAGAGCTAAGGCTAATGGCTGATCAAAACACAAGGCTATAGTCTGTCAGAGACAATTTCCACTCTACAAACAGTTGTAAGATTTGGAACACAAAGAAAAGCCAAATGAGCATTTTCTAGGATTTTGGGACTTCTGAAAATTACATTCCCAATACAGAAAATCTCTTCTCAACATACACAGCAGCATTACAAAGATGTTTTCTCTGCCAGAACTGCTGCTGAAGTGTCTTAATTTAGCTAAACACAGGTGGTCACAGCACAAGTAAGCTGTACAGATATCCTTGGGATGTTAGCAGACTTCTCAGTGACAGGACAGACAGTCTGATTCAATCCATTACCTATTGCTCATTATTAGGGAAGCTGTTCTCACTGCAGTGTGAGACACAGGAGGAGGCAGAGTGCTCGCTGTTACACGAGTCTTCTGGTCGTGTCCTCAGTTATCTGTTACAGGAAAATCTGCCACAGCAAAATCAATATATTTGAGGGAAACCTGTACCAAAACAAAGCCTTAAATCTTCATGTGGGTGCTTAAATAAGTGGTCTGAGCTGCAAGATCAGGTTATCACTGCCTTTACACATCACAATACATCACATTGTAGGGCATGGAAAAGCCTCTGGATCTATGATTTTTCCATCCCAAGAATGATATAAAATAGCTTCCAAGAGAGGCGAACTGACAGACCTGGTAGACCAGGAGATGCAACAGTGTTCCTTACAAAAGCCTCCAATGCATGTTATGATGCACTAAATGGAAGAGATAAAATTAAAACTGTGAAAACTTCACTCATTTCCAATGTATTTACTGACGGACCGACATATTCCCTTCACAGACAAATTACTACACAGACTATCACTGAATAACCAAGACCACTATGCACATTATGCCAGCACATCAATGATAAACTCTACTCATCATTTGCCAATCTAATGTAGTTCCCATATGCCATTAATTCTGACTCGACTTGAAAATACTTAAAAATAAAATCATCTCCAGCTGTTCAGTTTTCGGATTTTAACATACGTGCACCTTCCCTCCATACAACTCTTGAAAGAAAAATAGTACTTTTTTACGTTATGATTGCTCCTGCAAAACTTCAAAGTGATATTTCAAGTGCTGCACCTGCCCAACGTGGCTCTCATCTCTAAAATCTCAAGGGAAGGTTTTTGTTTGTTTTTAAAGCAGAAGGAGCTTTTGCATTGGGAAATTCCCCTTGATCCCATTCAGACTTGTAGCAGAAGATTCACAAACATTAAAGCAAGTTGAATGACACCATTTTGTCCCCCATGTAATCAGTGATGAGCTGCAAATCCAACTCACAGCACTGTGTAGAATCTGACTTAATGTTTAGTATTAAGCGCAGCTTAAATTTATCAGGTTTAGTTAACTAACCTGGAAAAGAAAGGAAAGAAGGAAGAAAGAAAACAGTTTCTCATCACATCTGGCTACTGCTTCTAGGCAGTAAAGACTCCGATTTATTTTGGTTTATAACCTTATTTCCACAGTAACATAAACTATACTTTTCATAGAGAAAATCATTTTCCTAAGATACTAATTTGCTGTATGCCTAACAAAAATAAGTATATAATCAGAGTAAAAGTTTTCCAATTTTTCTTCCCAGGTCTACGCTTAGCTCCCAAACTTCAGGAAGTGTTCTGTGGTGCTCATTCTCCATCTGCATCAATTAATAGCTTTGGGCAGCAAACACGATGTACAGATCGAGTTTCATAAACCCATTTTTTTTAATACTGACTGCTTACGTAAGTACTGGGCAAGAAGTCAAACTGACCTGTGTCAGTGTTGGCAGAGCCATCACTAAAACTGAAGAACACCCATTCAAACCCACAGGCCAGTTTAATCCAATGAAAAATGCTGTGACTCCAGTCAACAATTTAGTTTGAGTGTAGGTTAACTTAGGTGCAAGAGCATTATTCACAGTACAGAACTAAATAAGTTTACTGAAACAAAGCATAAGTTTACATTTCCGTAACTATTATCTGACATGTCTAGCCTAAACTAAAAGCATGATAAGTGCTACTTGAAACAAGCTTATCTTTTTTTCATCATACTGATCTACAGTATGACATCATTTTAGAGATGAATTAGCAGAGTCATATTAAAACAAGCATCATTCACCTGAGGATAAATTTTCTTCAGTGCACATTTCTACAGTCATTTTGGAGAACTAATTTTCTAATTGCTCCAGAAAGATGGGATGCAGTGCATGCCACGAGGACACAGACCGGGACTGGAGGAAGCCCAGCAGGAGTCTGACAAGGTGGCTGAGGTCTGCGGCTGCTGCACAGCCTCTTGGAGAACCTTGGAGAAGAGAAGGCTCCAGGAAGACCTCACTGCAGCCTTCCAGTACTTGAAAGGAGCGTATAAACAGGAGGGGGGGTGGCTGTTTGTGAGGGTGGATTGTGATAGGACAAGGGGAATGGTTTTAAACTGAGACAGGGGAAGTTTGGGTTAGAAGGAGAAGGAAGTTTTTCACACAGAGGGTGGTGAAGCACTGGAACAGGTTGCCCAAGGATGCTGTGGATGCCCCATCCCTGGAGGCATTCAAGGCCAGGCTGGATGTGGCTCTGGGCAGCCTGGTCTGCTGGTTGGTGACCCTGCACATAGCAGGGGGTTGAAACTGGATGAGCATTTTGGTCCTTTTCAACCCAGGCATTCTATGATTCTATGAATTTAACAGAAGACAATCACAGGTAATGTACACAAAGGCAGAGGAGCCAATCTTACTCCACTTCTTCAACAAATGAATGAAGTCCACAACTTCTGAACAGCATTTTGAGCAGTAAATCCTGATTTGACCAGGAGTACCCAGAGTCCTGTGTTCTGAAAAAGGTATTTTTAAGACACAACCCTCTCCTGCACTGCCTGCCAGCTTGAGTCCTCAGCCATACTGACCTCACCATGACAAAAAAAATTACAAACAAACCCAAAAACCAGATCCACGAAGATGCTGCA